CACAGGCGAATAGTGCGTTGCGAGTCGATCGAAAAATCTGCAGGTAAACTGTTATCCGAAACCGTTCAGCCGTCCCGTGGGCATCGTAGATTGATTGCTTACGCGGACAGGGGCTGTTATCAGAGCGTGTCAGCGTGGTGAATTTCATTGGTCCGGATCGAAATTCGGTAAAGGCTCTCGACGCACACTGACATTCCACGCGCATTACGAAATCGTCAATTCCCGTTAACGATTACCATAACCGTCGTACACGGTTATCCGGTTCGTCAGAGTATAAAATTAGTTCCCTTGATAAATTTATGCAGCGCCAGATATTTTATATTGACGTACATCAAATTCTCTGTTAAATATTATAAGCGATCGTCATTCTTGCATAATTATATCCAGGATGAGTCGCTTAAGACAAACCATCTGAATGATTTCTACATTCTTTTACATAGGAAGATATAATATGAACTGTACACAAATTCTGTGTGAACATAGTCAATATACATATTTATTGATTGCACTTATCTTTTCGTTTATTCATTTCGCCTTTCCGTTTACTTGATTCAGTTTAATGTTAGAAGCCACGTCCATCCTCGGTGTTCCGAGCCGCGTAAAGGCAATTCAATTTCACGTACCAGCGAAAGGTAAGATTACCAAACTCAATCATTCACGCTACCCTTTGACCGAAAACTCCAAATCATTGCTCACTCCCTTCCACTTTGGGCATGCGAATCCGGTTAACCTATGACTCGCAAAAATTTTGTACTTCACCATCCCTAGATTCCCAGGTAGCCTGATATATTTCTATTAACAAGAAAAATGATCTAACAAGTTGCTCTGATTCATACGATGAAGCAAACAGTCTGATACACTAGTTGTAAATATTTATAATTGTTTATTGTAAGTATAATGTGTGCACACAATTTAGTTAATAGTTTTCGCATGAAACATTTTGAAAGATATAGAATTTTCAGATAAAGTTTGCTAAAGTGTCTAACAATGGATGAATATGTGATATGTCTGACCATATGAGGTACAATACTACTTAAAATTCTATAAGCTTTTCTTTTTATTAAAGCTTTATTTTAAATGGTCGCATCACAATCTTCTATAAACCCTTTTTTTGGTATTTCAATCATAATAATTTTACATCAGTTTTTTGTTCATTATTTATCCATAAATAACATGTCCGACAATAATACTTAAAACTCTTATACTTCTGTTAAATTGCACTTGTTCGATTATAATTTACACAATTTTCTATACGAATAACAATAAAACAAATTGAAAATCGAAACAACTCAAATATTTTTTTTTACGACTCATTGAATATGCGGTCATTGTAACAATTTACATTGTGTCGGTGCGGTTTCGAAATTCGCCACGTGGCATTGGCGTTTATCAAAAACCGTTTCGAGGGCAGGTTATCAGCCGGAAGGCGGCACAATTGTCGCATTTGTTCGACGAATTCGGATACGCGGGTGAAATAGCGCGAGTCACTTGTTGAGCTTACGATATGGATATCAGCTCGGCCGACAAAAATGCGCGGGGTTTTTCAAATGATTCTTGCACGTTCAACGTTACGATTTATTTTACTTTTTCACAATGTAACCAATTAATCTGCTGTGATTTCACAAAGTATTGTTAGTTAACTGTAAACGTTTAAACATTTCTGTTAGATTAGTTTCAGTTTGACTTCTTCAATTCATATTATTATTTAAATGACTAACACAGAAATATTATACGATTTTCATTAATTGCGTTGAATCCAAAAAATGGTTCTTTTCACGCTCGTTACCGTAATTCAAGTAAAAACAACTAAATAACGACTCGTTTCGCCTAATCAATTATCGGGGAGAAGAGAAGCGAAGGTTAGCATCAGGATTGTTAAAACACTGGAGCTGGGGTAGAATAGGTGAAAAATGGCAAGTCGGAAGGGGTGCTACAAATTGGCCACTTACGTTCCCGACGATTCAGCCGGCATTACTCTCGCGAACGCGCACCAGCGTCCTCGACAATTTTAGCTCGGACGCGGCCATTCGTCTCGGATTTCTAGAAACGAAAACGCGAACCATCGTCCTCTTATCTAACTTTAATCGATCCTCTTTCGCCCTCCTATTCTGAACCGAGGAACGATTCCAGTTGCGAGCAATTAACGGTGTAACAATTTTCGCTTGGAAAGTCGAAACCAGAGCCAACAGCTTGGAACACAAAGTTGGCCATAATCGAATGTATCAGTTGTTACGTTGTTCAAGTTTGTTTTCGATAATTGTCGATAAACGAGGGTGTGCGTGCAAACGTACACTTTGCAAGCATGGAATAAATGGAGGAAATGATAGATTTACATTGAAAGTCATTTATTTAATGCTATATATGGAATGTGTTGTATTGATGGAAGGTTTAATCGGATGCGCTTAGCATTTAAATGTCAGTTTTAAATAATCAGGCGAATCGAAAATTCCTTTGGATTCTAAGCACGTTATCCAGTCAGATTATTCTGATAAAATTCTATAGAGATTCCGGAATGTGCAAAGCCTAAACATCAATTTCCGTAGCGTTCACGGATAGTTATATAGATCACACATAGATACAGTTAAATCGGTTCTCTCGCGTGATACGTGGAAGAGCCGGAGGCCGTTCGTCGCTAGTCGAGCTTTCTTATGCATAATGGATCAGGCGCTAGGGTTAGGATTGCGAGAAAACTGCAGTTGCCCGCGCGATTACACCCTGCCAGTGGTTTCTACGAACGGGTAGGTGTTAATACCATTTAAAAGCGTGAGATCATCCATTCTTAAGCGGAACGCGCATAATTTCGCGAAATTTATCGATCCCTCGTTTTTATGTAGACCTCCATTAAAATAGGTTTACATCGTTAACGAGCAGGTAAAAAAGAACGGATTTAACAAGAATTTTTTTTATAAAACAGTCGACATTATTGATTATTAATTTAAAATTGTAATTCGCAAGAAAGAAGAGTTCAGATTAGTCAACCCCTTCTCCGCAAGCTTTTTACATAAAACACGTGTAACTCTACTAATTTTGAATCTCAGCCGAATCTGAATAGCTACGAATTTATTTAGAACGATTTCTTCAGTTTATTTATCGGATTGATTAGCTCAAACGGCACGGACGGAAACAAGAAATGTTTGAGGCAACGAATTGGTTGTTTCCGTTTAATTAAAATACACGGCATACCGTTACGCAAAGGCAAAAGGATAGGTTTTGCAGCGAAACGTACGCGGAACTTATTACAGAGTTAACTCAATCAAGGGTAGACTTTAAATGCGGCTACTGCTCGGCGCCCGGTTAAACAACAAAGGGTTCAACTTTAACCCCTCTGCGGGTTTTAAAGTTTCGGAACGATGCTTTTGTGAACGGGCAAGTCAAATTTTGCTCGACTAACGCGCAACGGGTAATTGATTCGCAAAAACTTCCTTTAATTGTCTGCCTGTTACATCGCCGTTAACGAATCGAAAACTTATCACATTCCTTGTTATAACACGTAACCTGACTATTCGTTATTTCAAATATTATTGTATTCTCGTTTCAAATTTCAAGCGTTACTATATAAGGGATGGAAGTAACATTTTTTTATTTATTTCGTAGAATTACATTTATTGGTTTATGAAACGTTTTCTGAATTCGTGAAATTTCACAAATAATGATGATTTCGATGCATCGGAAAAGAAATCACCGAAGGCTGACTGAGTTTCAGAACGCGTCTGGAAATAGTCTTGGACTTATGCCACTGATTTGGATCGCGTTCGGAACAGTGTACCGAGATCCAATTAAGCACCGAAGTGAAACATTAAACATCGCGTTGAAATGCGACTTCGGCGGTGAGAATCGAAGCTTTTTCTGCCGAGTAATAGAGAGAACGCGAGATGAAATTGATTCAATTACCAGCCGAGAGTCAACTTTAGTCTGTGTCCAATAATCAATCAGAAGAAAACAGGATGAAACGTTTGAGCTGCATATTGCAATTAAGAGAAGAAGCGAAAAAGAAATATACATATTCCAGAGCTACAATTGTAACTTTCGTAACATTCTTTTACTTCAATCATTTAACAAAACCAATTACGTTATGCAATAAATTTGTGCGTCGGTCAGCTTTTCCGTTAATTGAAATCATCGACGATCTGTCATCGTTTCCGATTACACGTCTACTTTAGATTTACTGCAGTAGAACTCGAAAAATCTTGAACGAATTACGAACTGCAGTTCAATTGCTTTTCCTTAAACGTCAATTTACCGAATGTTCATTTAAACTGAGTTTAAAAAGCATTGCAATGAAAAATCGCGACCCTTTAACTTTACCGTTTTAAATCACGATCTTTTAAGCTCCTGGATTATAAAACTAGGAACGATACGACGGTTAACGAGAAGTGTGCCAGATAAAATTCAGACAGGTGGACATCGTCGATCCTCGTTTAGGAAAATGGTTGGGAACGGAGGAAAGCGAGATACAGTATCGACGGAAACTTAGTAGAAAGGTGTTGCTAAATCTTCATCGAAGCTTGGCAATCCCAATCTCCGCGGTAATCTTGATAACGTAGGAAACTTGCGGAGATTCGAACACGAGAAAGTCGGAAGAGTTTCGCCGGCCGTTATCGGGAAACAGTAGGAGACCGATAGAGATTTTATCCGATTTTAAACATGTACGATTCCTATTGCTTCGTTCACATTAGAAATGGATACACAGTAACAGACGCGTTCATTATTATTTGATTCCATGGAGAATTGCCTGATGAATAATTGCAAAATCAAAGAGACACAAGTATCAGCGAGAATCTGTTTAGAAATTCTATTTACAGCATAAGTTATAAACTAGTATCTGAAATCATTGAATTCCGTTGTATACTTTACATGCAGAAATTGAGTCAATTAATGAGTTTTTATTTCAAGTGATAATTGTAATTAATTCGTCTTACGCGTATTTCTGTAAAAATATAAAATCATTTACTGAACAAACAAATTATTAAACAAGAGTGAAAGGAATTGCATGAGCTCACCTCTGACAAGCGTGAGTATGCCAAGAGGCATGACGAGGACGGCGACCATGAGATCGGTGATGGCCAGGCTCATCAAGAAGTAATTGGTAACGTTCTGGAGTCTCCTCTCCTTGGCGATGGCCAAACACACTAAAATATTCCCTGCTGCCGTGCCCAGGACCAGGACCAGGGCCAACATAGCCCACCAGTTGTTCAAACCGTCGACATCGACGTCGACACGTGTCCCGTTCACCTGTAGTTCGGTGTCGTTGAACGTACCATCGCAAAGGGTGCCACTGTCGTTTGCTAACAGTAGGGGATCCTCGATGCAGGTGCCGATCACGGCCTCGTAAGGATCGCGATCGATCGTCGCCGTCGACGAGACGACCATCGCTCAAGACGGATGATCTCAGAATAGTTTCGCCTGTCTGCTACTTGCTATCTGATCCCTGATCGCCTTTGCTAGAATTTCAAATCATCCGAAACGTGAATGTAATCGACGATCTGTTCATTCTCAATTTGCTTCCTGTTGAATCCTTCACGACGAACTTCTTAATTTTTAATTTGTCACAAATTTAATCTTGTCGCGGATCATTTAGGAATTCGATTTAATCTTTAATATTCAGTTTCAATTCGCCGAACCTTTTTCGACGAAGTACTTCAGTTGATTTTGTCATACGTTCAATTTTATCGCGAATCACTCAGGGGGTCCATTCTGGCTTCGGTTTAATCTTTACCTTAATTTGATCAATCTCCTAATGAGACTCTTCCTGCCAATCTCGGAGACTTTTTCTTTGGAACCGTTCCGTTGATTCTTTTGTTTTCTCAAGTCGATCACCCACCATGGTTGTAATTTAATTCCCAGAGGAGAGAAAGGAGAATCTCTGAATAAACATAACGGTTTGACGCGTTTAAATAAAAATTGGCAGAATTGATTAAATTTTTTAAAATACTTTTAGTAGAAGCTTATTTAATAATTGAATTCGGGCACGTGAATATTAGAAACGTGAGGAACTAACGCCGTGATAAAAATTCAATTGCTAGAGGGGTAATTTGTCAAGGAACTTCATGAACCTGACGAGTTTGACGCAATTGATTCCCTTTTCCGTTTTCCATTTTCGCGACACCTGATCGCCACCCGCATGACAATGTCCGACGGAACACTTTCGTCGACGCGACGCGTAGCAGGTATCTACGTAGTACGTATACTCCCTTCCGTTTCACTCTCTATCGATCCGTCAAACACGTAGGACCATTTGGCAGCGAACTTCGTTTCAAATATTTACGCCGCCGACGTTTTGCACCCTCGAAAACTTTCAATTCCTAACGCGATCTTCGATGAGGTAACGAAGAATTTCATCGAATCCTTCTTCGTTCCCTAAGTGACGTCATGACAGTCAAATGAAACGTTCAGTGGTATAACAATTTCGAAACAAATAACAGCTTCTTAAGCTACTTGTTCAAGTTAAAACTGGCAATGAATAATTTAACACAACGTTTTTATCCCGGGATACGAAAGATATTTCGTATAATTAATCTTTGGTATCATATGAATATATTTTTGAGGCCTCTAAATAAAACATCAAAGATTACTTGATGGAATATAATAGTTTATTGTGGCAACATCTAAATACCGGGTACCATGAGGTAGTTCACGGAATTAACTACAAGCAACGTTTCATTGCATATGTTTAGAATGATTCGATCAAGAACGAAGCGCGTGTCGAACTTCGGTAAATACAACATCTAGGTATATTTACGCGTTCGTGAACATGTTTCGTGTAAACGGACAAAATTATCTGCCTCACTGTCAAGTACAACATGCGCCGCTCTTTGAATTGACATCTTCCCCGAAATTAATCCGAAATACTATCGAACTCAGTACACAACAACTGAAACGTTTTATATACTCGTCCGGATAGCACGAATCTATCTGAATATAATATTTTTATCACAATGTGAAATATACTTAGAAATTATATAAAATATACTTTATGCAACGGCGATAGAATATCTTGAACCGATCTGACAAATCGTATTACTGGGTTCACAGAACGAATCGAAATGTTCAAATGGAAAATTTCATAAATAAATCCTGTTTGAAAAATGTGCCTGAGCACGTATGTAAGTGCATACATATATCTCACTCGCATTTCACGAGCAATGAAACGACATCAAAGGTGAGAGCATCACTTTTCCTTCTTTCTCGATTCGATTACCCCGTAAAGGAGAGGGACAAGCAGCGTGGAAACCCAATTTCGTATCGACGATAATTTCATCAAAATACCGTAAAAAGAAGGGGCGATAAATAAATGAGATTAATCAGGACAATGAAAATGTCGCGCTAAGAAGTCACACGATTCTGTGATTAGATTTATCAATTTCAATGAATATATGCAAAATAAAATGAAAAATGAATATACATACATGTAAGTGTTACAAAAATATATATTTAAAAAATATATAAAGGAACCTAAAATAGTATGCGCTTGTATAATTCTGCTTGTTGATTTAGTATTTCAAATGAGCTTTGATAGAATTCGGAATTTTAATTGGCCAGCTTTCGACGATTAACTAATTGGTAGCGATGAAACGAGTCAGTGAAATTCGATTACGTGCCTTTGTACGAGTCCAACGTGCAACCTAATGCAGGGCTTGTAATTTTCACACCCCCGTCCACGAGCTTCCTCTCGACGGTTATAGCTTTCGCGTAGTCTCTTAAACTTAATTGGTAGTAGCGACGTTACTGAATGAAAAATTGTTCAATTGTCAAATATATCTTCAGTAATACTGGTTATAAAGTTTACGTTTAAAACAGAAATGTTCGATGTTCTTTAACAAAATGTTTCATGCAATTTTTGTTTGTTTGTTATTAAATCATGACAGACATTTTTGCTAGGTACGGGGATTTCTTGATAGATTAAGGATTTTTTTCATTCGAGTAATTATCATCAATAGCAGCAAGTCAATCGAATGTATGACAGCTTCACAATATTTTATTGAAATTCATTTTATTTTCATAATTGCGTGAATCATACTGAAGCGTTTCCCATCGCGGTTGGGATAATCGTTGAACTAGTGAAGCGCAGCGAATCCGATCGAGTTTTATATTTCGCCCCTTCAAGCTATCTGTTATAATAGCGGTTTCCACTTGAGGCATGCGAAATTTTGCAAATTACGCGAGATGCGAAATTTCGGTTGAATAATGCAGTCGAGAAATAACGAGGGGTTTAATTTGTAATCTGGCAGGGAAAATTGTCCAAACGGTATACAATATTTTATAGCAGTGAGTTCCGTTCGTACAATGTCAAAAATCTTTAGGGAATAGAGAGCGGAGATAACGTCATCGAATTTACTGTAAATTCAACTGTAAGGATTAAAAATTCATCGGTACGGGTCATTAACAGGTGCCTTGATTTATCGATTGTTTTTTTATGTTCATATAAACAGCCTAAAGTTCGCAGTTAATTATCGTACAAGGTTCTGTCAAATATTTGTATTTGTGTATTGTAAAATTTATAAACATTACGAGAAGTTTTATAAAGAATGAAATCGACTGTTCTTGAAATTCTTTAAATAATATTTCAATTCTGCACTAACTGCCTCTTACTCTCTCTGAGTTATTTGTCATTATTGTTAATTCATTTTTCAACTTAAATATTGCACCGCACAGAATAATGTTTTATTGATTGATTGCGAGATTTCTCTAAATTTTTACTATCGATTGTTTCCTAAAATGTGAGGTCCTGAAAACATTTAGGGAAACAGTGTGAATACCTGTCCGGATAAACCATTACGCGGGATTTCAATCACCACGGGAGGTCTCGTTGCGAAACGATGCTAATTGATAGAGAAAGCGGTATTATTCGGCTGTCGAAAGCGACGTCGAATAATCGTTATTCCCGTACGGAATAGAGTTTATTGGGTTTGGCCTCCACGACGGATCGTTCGCGTTACAGTAACGAAAATAAGGTCCAATTTATTATGAAACTCGAGGGCCAGCAACTCGGCCGTATTAATTTATTAGCGGAGCAATTTGAAATTTGAATATTCACGAGGCGAAAAATGTTAGAGAAGCGCCCCGTCCCTCTCGCGAGATATACCTCGTTGCCTTGACTCGAGTAATCGGCTAGCCGCAGGTTCAAATTAAATTGTAACAAGCGAGGAATAGTCGTTGGACTACTCAGACAAATTAAACATTTTTATTTCTTAAAGAAAAGAGAATGTAACGAAAT